GAGGGTGTGGTCCTGAGGTCCCTGGCGTCCTGCTGGTGGCGGGCCTGTCCTCCAAGGGCCCGTGTCTGCCCTCGGGCTGGTCGTGGCATTTGGTCACATGCCGCGTGGTGTCGCTTGGTTGGCGAGGGGCCACAGGGACAGGCACGGCCTCGTGGGGACGTACCGGCCGCGTCCCACGTAGCCTGGGGTGTGGCAGACTGCTGGTGCCATGGTCCTCGGTGTCGGTCTCACGGTGTCGGTCTCACGGGGACTGTGGACAGGGGGCAGGTGTCGGGTTTCGCTCCACTCCAGACAAGGTTCCTTTGCTGTGTGGTCACCACCTCCAACCTGCCGAGGGGCCACGCGTGGCTTTGGAAAGCCCAGGTTAGGCCCTCGGGCTCCCCCAGTTCAGAGGGAAGCCCACAACGTGGCCCTGCGGGGCAGGCGACCAGTGCTGTGGGTTCAGGGCCTCAACCCCCAGGGGCTCCCGTGGGCACGCATGCGTTCGGCGTGCTCTGCGGAGGGAACCCTGGGCCTCGCCCTGTGACTGCTGAGCCTCGTCCGCCTGCCGCCTCGGAGTCGGGGTCTCAGTCCTCCCATGGTTCAGTCAGGCTGGGGGCCCCGGCACAGGCAGGCTGTGGCCGCGCTGCGCACTGGTTCTGGGGAAGCCCGTGGGGTTCCTGGGTCAGATCCCAGCGGGTTGGACTGTAGGGACAGGGCCCTTCCCCAACTCCCAGAAGGGCTGGAGGGAACAGGAGAGGGGCAGCAGAAGTCATGCCGCGCGGTGTCGTTTGGTTGGCGAGGGGCCACAGGGACAGCACGGCCTCATGGGGATGTACCGGCCGCGTCCCACATAGCCTGGGGTGTGGCAGACTGCTGGTGCCATGGTCCTCGGTATCGCTCGGTCACGAGGACTGTGGAGGGGGGAGACAGGTGTCGGGTTTCGCTCCACTCCACACAAGGTTCCTTTGCTGTGTGGTCACCACCTCCAACCTGCCGAGGGGCCATGCATGGCTTTGGAAAGCCCAGGTTAGGCCCTCCGGC